AGAAAAGACGTCAGAGAGAAATGCGCAGAGAGTATTAGCGTCGGCTTTTTTAACTGGTTTAGATATGATACATTTTGAGAAGTGGTCAATTGCGATGAGGGCGTAGCGGTTTCGCGCACGGGTGAGGGGGAGCGGTCCCCAGAAGTCAATGGCCAGGCGCTGGTGGCGTTTGGTAGAGAGAATGGGTGAGAGTTTGGTGCCGGTGGGTTGGGTATTAAAGTTAAATGCGAGGCAGGCGGGACATTTTTGCACAAAGGTCCAGACAGATTGGCGGAGTTTGGGCCAGGAGAAGCGGCATTTGAGAACCTGGTAGAGTTTGCGCCAGTTGGCGTGTCCCATTTGATCATGGTATGTTGAGAGAATGTCTTGGGATGTTGTTGGTGATTCAATTATTTTGAGAGCGTTGAGCGTGATTTGACTGAGTGCGTCGGGTCCCGCAAGGCTGTTGCCGGGTCAATAGATGAATGTATAATTAAAATACTCTAGTTTGAGGAGGAGTCGCAGCAGGCGTGTGTCTTTTAAGTCGCCGAGAAGAGCTTTATGATCCGTGAATATCTTAAATGGGCAATGTTCAAGGTAATGTCTGAATTTTTTAGTGACTGCCCAGACCGCTGCAAGGAGCTCCCTTTGAGTATTTGAATAACGGGTTTCGGGGTCAGTGAGAACGTGGCTGGCATATGCGATGATATGTGGGTGGTTTTGGTTGTCGCGTTGGACGAGAATAGCACCTAGGCAAGAGGCAGATGCATTGCAGTGAATTTCTGTTGCGGCTTCGGGATCAAACCGTTTGAGGCGTGCTGCCTGAGCAATGGCGTCCTTAAGAGCGTGGAAGCTTTGCATGGCTTCTGGGGACCAAATGAGCTTTACTGCTGGTTTTTGAGGGATCGTGTTCCGAAGAATTTTTTTGTGGTTTGCGAAGTTAGTGGGGACGTGTTCTCTGAGATAGGTCGCAAGGCCTATGAAACGTTGAAGCTGTTTCGTAGTTTGAGGCAGAGGGAAGTTTTTGATGGCTTCTAAGTGAGATTCAGCTGGGCGGGTACCGGTTTGGTTGATTACGTATCCGAGAAAGTTAATGGACTTTGCAAGGAAGCGGGATTTAGTGATATCGATAACGGCACCCGCGTTAGAGAGGGTGTCGAGAACCATGGCTAGGTTTTTTGTGACCTGGTGAAAAGTGGGGCCAAAGACAATGATGTCGTCAAAGTACACCAAACACTTATTGTAGAGGTGGTCGCGTAAGATAGTTTCCATTGTGCGCTGAAAAATAGCGGGGCCTGTTTTTAGTCCGTATGGGAGGACGGTATATTGTAATTGGCCAAAGGGGGTGGTGAAGGCAGTCTTTTGACGGTCTGCCTGTGCGAGAGGGATGTGGTGGAAACCTGAGTGGAGGTCTAAGGTGCAGAAGAAAGCATTTTGACGGCCGAGAGCGTCGAGAAGGTCGTGAATGACAGGCATGGGATAATTATCTGGTTTGAGCAACTTGTTGACTTTGCAATAGTCTTCTACGAGGTGCCACTTTTTCATAGGGGGCGCATCTGGGTCCGAGCAGTTTTTGGGGGTTAAGAATGCTGGGGAGCTGTAGGGCAAGTGGGCTGGTTCAAGAATGCCCGTGGTTTTGTAGTTTTCGAGAATGGCGTGGAGCAGATTTTGCTTATCATAACATTGGCGGAAGTGCTTGGCCATTGGGGGGTTATATTCGTGTGTAGGGAGGTGTGCGACATATTGGGGGAAGAGGCCGTGACGGCAGCTCCATTGAAAAATGTTATCGTGGAACTGCGCGAGAAGGGCTGTGAGTATGGCGCGTTTGGGTGCGGACCCGTCGACATATGAGATTTGCTCGCCAATAGCGCAAGCTGGTTTTTCTGTGCATGGTTGAATAGCGCGAAAGCCGGAAAAGATGAGCGATCCATCGAGCGTGATGGCTAGGGGAAGTGTGTTTAGCACGTCGCACCCAATGATTACAGGGTAAAACGCGTTTGGGAGAACAAAGAAGGTAGCTGGGTATGGGTGGTTGCAAAAAATAAAAGTAGTTCTTACCTCTTCTGTGATGGGCAAGGAGATGTCCGTTACCGCGACTGCGATTGATGCTGATGCCGGAGAGGTGGGAAGGCGCAGGGTACGGGTTGTATCTGTCGCGATGAAGGACTTGGACGCCCCCGTGTCAATGAGCGCCGTGCATTTCTGATCTTTGATGGAAATCAGAATAGTGATGCGATCCTGGGCGGGCTGGGGATGGTGCAGAGGACCGCCGTCACTACACCTTCTTCCCGTTTCCCGATTTGCTGCAGTTCGCCGCGACATGGCCTGTTTTGGAGCAAATTACACATGATTGGGTTTTTGCGTTAGTACTTGAGCTAGTACTTGCCAAGGGATCCGGCCGTTGGAGGCAACATTGTTTGGTCGTATGAGATACGTACTTTTTGTGATGCTGACAGTAATGCGTCGGCGGCGGCTGCCCAGTTTTGAGGGAGCATTCCTCCGAGGTGTGAGCTGCCATGCGATCATGGTAGGTACAGAATGACATGCGACAGTCCGAGGAAGATGACGCGGACAAGGAAGCCGTGGAAGCACGTGAGGCTGGTCTTTGCCGATTGGGCTGGGCGGCGTTAGGCCCTCGGGCAAACAATGTGCGTGCATTGGGATGCGTCAAACGGAATTTGTCCGCTTGCCAGAGAAAATCTTCCCATGAGATATGGGGATCCAAGAGGGCCTTTCCTTGGAGGTGAGAGGTGATGCCTCCTTGAACGGTTGTGAGAAACTGCCCAATGAGGGCGTGGGTGATGAGAGCGTCATTGTGGGCTTGATTCGTGTCGTTTGCTGGGAGGTATTTGAGGTAAGCCTCCTTGAGACGGTATCCGAAGTTGATGTACGTCTCATTTTGCATTGGAGTAAGGGTTTGAAATTCTAGAAAATGTTCGAAACGAGACTTGCCGAATTGGGCGCGGAGGCCCGTGGCGATTGCGTCGAAGGTGAGTGCCCCTCGTTCGTATAGGAGGTTTGCGGCAGTCGAGACCTGCGGCTGGGTCATGCTGAGCAGGCAAGAGACTCGTGAGCGTTTGGATGTCCCTTCTTGATTAAACACGTTTAGGGAGCGCCTGAGATAGGCGTCAATGTCCTCGCCTTTGTGCTGGCGAGGGAGGTCCACTGTGGGGGGCGGATTGAGAGCGTTGTAGAGATTGAGTAGGGGAGCCAGGTTGAGAGGAGCCGGCAAAGAGGACGGCGGTGCATTGAGAAACACCGTGTTGGGCGAGATGCCCCGGGCCGTGAGGACGTTGATGTAGTCCTGGCGTGTGTTGCCCGTGACTGGGCAGGGAAGTTGTTGAGTAAGGAAATATTGAATAAAGGTGGCCTTTGTGAGGCGAGACCAGGGCAAATCCGGTGACAGGGAATCATCAGGGGTGTTGGCGATATCTTCGACAGGAGGGGAAGGCTTTGGGCTAGCCATGATTTTGGAAATTGGGATGCACGGGAGGGATACTCGCGCTGTCGAGGGGAAAGTTGGCACTTAGGACGAGCCCCCTCATTCTCGCGGATGTTGATTCTTATATTTTGTGGTCCCTAGAACCCTCTTATATGTGTTCCCCAAAATAAAGTCTAACTAACCTCGAGAAGTGTTTATCTTTCAGCCACAGTGTTGTGAGCCACGCCGTGTAAGCTCAATGGGAGATTTGGGATTCAAAAGGAGTTCTTTCTCTGTTCGCGGTTAGGACGAGACTGAGCTCCCTGGCTAGCCCGCCGGTTGACATGGCCGGCGGGCGCTTCGGGAGTCGAGGACGCTGTGCGCGCCAAACTGGAGAGTTAGTGGAGGGGGCGGCATCTAGAGGTCGCTGGCCCTTACTATATCTATGACTTTTCACAAGTCTGAAATGGTGAGAAGCACTTTAGCTTTCTTAGGGCACTTGACTGCTGCATAAACATGAAATGCAATTGAAAATGTCAAATTGTTCAAGTGTAAATGTTCAAAACATGAAGTTGAAAACAGAAAGATGCAACTTCAAAGATTTACTCACCAGATCCAACGAAATTTCTGCAGGGAAGTCATTTAGTATTGGTTGATAATGTGTGTGATATACAGTGCAAAGAAAACAAAGAGAGGGAGGGAAGGCTTTGAACCTGCCATTTATGTTCCATGTACCCTGTCATTAGTGTGAATGTAATTGACATTACAATTTGATTGTGGAATCATTTGTTTGTTTGATTTATCTTTTGGAATAAAGTTGTGTTCTGAACAGTCGGGTGTGTTAATTTTGCATGGGATTGGCCTGTACCTCAGTAACTTGATCGGTTGCACTTTGTCTCTCGTCAGGAAGACGCGTCGCATCTTTCAACGCTTTCTCATCCACCCGTCTGACTGGATGAATATCTTTGTTTCGCTAAAATTTAAATGGCGATGTGTTATTTTTTTTGCTGATTCGTAGGTCTTCTTTAGCCAGAAGAACAAGCGATAGCACCACGTCTGCACACCTTCCACGGAGTTTCCACTCGCAAGCTTAAAATAGTAACCTAAAGTAGGCGGATGAAGAAAAAGGGCGCACTTACATAACAGCAAAAATGTGTCCAATTTTGTCAAGTATATCCCTAGATTTACGAAGCAATTATGCGATGTACATTCAATGCATTTTGGTAGGCTGTCCGTATAAGCCTGCATTAGATGTACACAATTCTTTTTGAGTACGTGGATCTCACTACCCTTCACGCTTATTAGAAGAATCATTCTACAAAAACTAATGTGAAAGAAACGAGACCAGGTGTGGTCAGTTCTCTGCCCCCTTTTGTAGCATTAGCACTCATTTCTTTCATATACTGTGTATACTGTACTTCAAAAATCTAATTTAATACCTGAAATAGAAAAGTTGAAAATCAACGAAAATTTTTCACACGGAGACAACCGTTGCTTTCCTTCGTTCTGAATTTCATTTTTTCTTTTTGACTCCGTTGAATTATTGTAAAACCGGAAAATGCCGATTCATCTTTTGATTCCAATTACATTTCTTTGTTTCAGTGATTTCCTTCTTCGGGAGAAAATGGTGGGATCAAGTATGCATCAAGTCAAGACCGGGCTCAGCTTTCTGCGTCAGCGAGCCTTTGTTCGATTCTGCTCTGGATACACTTCAGCCGCGAACGCTTTGACGGACAGAAAGGAAGTCGTTCCGAACGCTGCTATTGCATTCAATGCCGAAAAGGGGCGACAGTGGTCGTTGATTTCTCGCATTGAAAAGGTTCAAGTTCGGTTCAAAGGGATACCCAAGGATTGCACCATGTTGATGAACAAGCTCCAGTCGACCCCTTTTGATTGTGCAAAGCATTTGTCGGAGAATTGGATGAAGCGGGCTGCGATTGCGGAGGTTGATGGGAAACCATGGGATATGCATAGGTTAGATGGTTTCAAGATGATAAACATTAGTTTTTTTTTTCACCCTTGGTAGGGGATATATCCCAGATGGACCCTAGTTGTGATAGTAAAATAAAACCATGACATGGCCCATGATGATCCCAAATTCTCGTTTTTTTTGTGCATTTTTTATGAAGTTTTTCAATTTACTGCATGATAAGTGAGAAATTTCCAATTACGGAGTTCTCCACGAGTGTCACAGGGTGCTAAAAAATGTTCAGGTCAGCTGAAAAATTAATTTGCTTTTGTTTTACCCATAATCTGCAATATAAAAGGATTATTGATGGTCAAATCGACTATAAAATTCAATTTTTTTAAGCTAGCCTGACAAATTTTTAGCACCATGTGACATGGATGGAGAACTCCGGCTGTAACGGGAAAGTTTTCACTTATCATGCAGTAAATTGCAACTCTTTTTTTTTCCAAAAAAAAACCTCGGGATCTTCGAACATGGTGGGCTATGTCATGATCTTATTTCATCTACTGATCACACCTACTGACCTACTCTGAAAATATCAGAGGTCGCGTTGAACTGGGACAACTCGCCGTTGCAATATCCAGGTGACAATTTAAATCTGCTGATCAGTAGTATCTTTTTGTCTATTGTCACATAACGGATTTTAGAGATGGATGTATTTGAAATTTTGTATCCTCCTCTGAATCTTTTCAAAAAAATGCCGCGTAATCGTATTGCTGCTTTTTTTTAAGAGCCGCCACGTGAACGATGGCAATTCGAAGAACCGAACGTAGCTCCAAACTAATTCAAGTGTAGATAACATTTAAAAAAAATGCACCTTGTCAACTTGTTCTCTCTATTTCCTTCTCCGAACTGAAGGCCACTGGAGAGCGATTGTGAGCTGAGACTTATCAGTTTGGATGCTCCTGATGCAGCGCTGACTGAAGCAAACGCGGCATTCTGGCGATCATGTGCCATGATGCTTGGCGCTGTTGCGAGTTCTTCCTTCAAGTCGGAGATCCGATCATTTCCCTACTCCTTCCCGCCACCGAATGTTCGTTCCGGGAGCTTCGTTTACGATGTCGTCCTCGAGGGACTTGAATCGTGGTCCCCATCCAAGTGCGTGTCGTTTTTTTTTTTTTTCTTCTTCCTTTTTTACAGAATCGTAAATGTGAATCGTTGAGTTTTGGTGACGCAAGGTCGAACATTTTTTTGGTTCCTTGGTCCGCAGACTGGCACCGGTCCGCGGGAAATTTCTTTGGCATGATGAATTCATGGAAGGTAGTTGTCTTATACCTATCTGAAATTTTGGAAAGGCAATGGCAGTTGAAATTATCTGATGTAAAAAAAAGTTTGCTTTTCTCTAAATAGCACTTCAGACAAATTTTCACCTGGTGAAATAAATTATTTTAGGTGCATCATTATATTTACTTGCCTACCGCGCGCGCCGTTTTTTTTTTTTTTTTTTCAGAAATTCAGGTTCACATCATATTATTTCTAATGGAAAATTTTGGACTGAGTTTAACAGATAACTAATTTTTTTAAGCAATTAAAAATTAGTTGAATTCAGGTTCAAATCATGTCTAAATTAAAATTTGGGTGTTCTTAATTTTAAAATACAGTGGTTTTACAGTTAATAGAAATTTTTGCGCTTCTTGCCTGGAAATGCATTCAATTTTATCAAAATGTATGACTGAAAAACTCTTGATTCTTAACTAAATTTTTTCAATAATAGTTCTGTTTGGAGGATTTTGTGGAAGTTAACGGCATTTAAAAAAATTCTGCTGGTCTTCAAAAATTTTCTAGATCTTCGCCGGTCCGCAAGAAACTTCAGGGGAATTCGCTGGTCTGCAGACCCCAAAAGATTAGGGAACGCTGCAATAGATTTTATGTGTTTTTATCGTGTTATAGTACAGTAAACATTTTGCTGGGGTGCTTGATGATACAGTATTGTCAGTTAGTTCATTTGTATCCGGTTAGGTACAGAATTCCGTCATGACGAACTTGTGTAGGCGTGAAAAATTATATTGACTGCACCGTACTAGAAAAATTCTTCTTTTTTTATCTGTTCCAGGGACGAATTGCGTCTCATGTCGACGCAAATGGTGAAGTTGGCTGGAAAGAACTTCCCATTCGAATTCCTGAGAGTTACCGCTGAAAGAGCCCAGGAAATCATGAGGGACAATCCTTTCAAGGTGGCTCAACTCCCGTCTATTGCCGCGGCGAACAATGGTCAGGTTACGCTGTACAAGTAAGCGCATCTAATATTATTTTGATGTTTTTTTTATGAAGAGTGACCCAGGATTGTAGACTGATTCTCAAACGGGAATGTTTAAAAAATGGTGACCGTTGGAAATTTGAAGTGTGATTTCGGAGAAGAAGAAAAAACGTTGACGACTTTTTCACGGTTTCAGGTACCATAATATAGATATGAAACTGCAAATTCATGAATAATTGTAATTGTTGAAGTAAAGCCTAAACTTATCGTTCAGAGTTTTTGGAATAATGCTGCTTGAAAATCGGCTCGAATTTTTATGTGTTATCCATTCTAGTACTGTACCGTATCTTGAAAGTTGCTATGCCCTGATGAATCTCTGATTCAACGTGCTCATTCATTCATGCTGTGACGAATTATTTCGTTGTGTGTCACTGGCCATCATTCCCATTTGAGTTTCGCGCTTAAGTTCCGTGTGCTTATGGGATCACACGAAAGTTGTCCCTCTTCGGTGCGACCTTGATCATTTCTAGAGTGTGTAAAAGAAAAAACTGTGATATAGCCATAATGTTGTTGTTGTGGAATTTTTTTGGATAAAAAACATTTCAATTCACTGCATGATAGGTGAGAATTTTTCAGTTGTGACCAGAGTTCTCCACCCATGTGACAGGGGGCTACGAATTTTTCCGGCTTGATGAAAGTTGAAATTTCTTGCTTATTTTAGCACAACATTTAAAATGAAAGTGCTTAAGACGACAACAAAATTGAAGTTTTTAGCTGGCCTGAAAATTTTCATAAGTCTGTGATATAGGTGGAGAACTCCTGCCGTAACCGGAAAGTTTCATGCATTACATTTTTTTTTATCCGTAAAAATCTAACATCACGGGCTATACCATTTATTTTTTCACAGTCATGCGTACTGTGCTTTAGAAATAACCGAGGTCGCGCCCAATTGGGACAACCCTCGTATCGTGTACACATGTGTGTTGGTGAAGGAGTTTTGATCGGGTTCCGGATGGAATTTCGTTTTTTAGTTCGAGCCTGTTCGTACTGTAATTTGATTTTGAGCTTTCGTGGATTTCAGGGTTGGTAATTACGTCGATATCAGTAAAGGACCAATGATCGGAAGAACTGGTCAGTTGGGAAGATGTACGGTGACTGCTGTTCGGAAGCATGAAATTGAAGGAGGCCCGAGTTTGTACAGGTTCCAGGGTGTCGCTTTACCCTCGAACATAATGTTGAACCATTTCGCCTACGGGTTGATCGAGGAACGTGGCCGGAAATTGAATCCCGCCAAGATGCCTACCGCTGTTCCTTCGCTGTCGTGAAAAGGGTGTTCAGCTTTGTTTATTGCATATTCGTGAGTGGAAGAAAAAGGAATACATGACGCGAAGTCGGTTTTTTTTTTCTTTCAAGAAGTTTGCTTCAGTCAATTTGTGGTCGCGCGGCTGAGTCAGTTGTTTTGGTCGGTATACTGTACAGTATTTACTGGCGTAACACGCCCATTTTTTGCGAAAAACATTGAGAAGGAAAAATTTCGTGCGCATCATACTCGAGTCACTTGGCAGAAACTGTTGGTCTAAACTGCAAAATGCAGTTGTTCAAAAATACTGCGGATAAAAATGTGGAAATATCCTTGAATAAAGTTGAAAGTAATTATTTTTCGATTCATTTTCCATTCGAAAGGAACATACTGTATATTTGAGACTAACGTAAGATGTTTAAAGACAGAACTCGTGTTTTTAGCGTGTAAATTTTTGTTTATCTCCGAAATCAGGGAAAAGTGAGACAAGCTTCTTACGCAGGGTTGGACTTTTTGTATTTTTTAAATCATAGTGAGTGTCTTACTTGAACGCGTGTGGTACTTCAAGTGTCTCTTTTGAAATCAACTGCGAATCTGTTGTAGTGTTCGTCCTGTTGGCTGTTGCATTGAAGAGCAGTTTTAAAAAGTTGCCTCAAGTGTTGAAGTAACTAAATTCGATGATAAATTTTGAACCTTTTGTGCCTGCATTTCTCTCATAACCTCGATCTCTTTCTGTACAAAATGTTCATATAAATTTAGATGGTCGACTACTCGAAGTAAATCACTGTACGGTATTTTCATTTTGGCAATGCTGTCCAGTACTGTAATTTACTTCGCGGGTAGGTGTTATATTACGAAAAACTTGAAAATTGAAAATTTTGCTTGAGTTTGTGTTTGAAAAGCTCGTGTGTTAGGGAAACCTAGAGGAAGTGGCTCATCGCTACATTTGACTAAGCCACGAAGGAATATAAAACCATGGAGTGTGTTTTCTTTCAGATTGCTGCCTAGATATTTAAGCAGAAAGAAAATTTCTTCGTCCTAACAGTATCGTTGTGGAAGGAATTTCTTTAGATTGAGTCCATGGTGGGAAATCATGTTGGCTGTCTATAGCTAATTCTACAGCTTGAAATTCGTATGCGGTATTCTGTTGAGTATTTCAGGAAATTTTTTCTCGATTAAATGAATTACAAATCTCTCAAAATTTCCGAGAAGTTTTCCGATGCTGGCATTTTCGTGCGTGTAAATTTAAATTCCCTTGTGAGGCATCTGGTCGCGATAGTTGCTTGAATGCTTATCTTATCACCGTTACAGTTCTTGCTCGATAAGCCAACCTTTTTCAAAGCGTTCATTTGAGTCCGAAGTAATTTCTCGCGCAAAGCTGTTGCAACAGCGGGTCACGAGCTCATCTTATTGTGTGTAGTACAGTACAGTTGAATGTCAAGGACTCGAACCTCCCTGAGTCGATTTTTTCTTATTTCTCTATCTGCATTCCTTTTAGAAACAATCCATTAAAAACCTACCTAACCTTGAAGATTTCCCTCCTCAAACCTCTGTAACTTTAATTTTCTTGAGGCCTTCTGGTACAGAAAAGAGAAATAAAAATGTCATTTGATGTGTTCTGAAAGTGAGCGAAAGATTAATTGGGCGAATAAATTCTTTCCTCCGGGTTCAGCATCCCATCACCTCATTCAAGAAGCAATTTGAGGCCCAGAAAATCGCCAATTTCAGTTTCCTTTAAGTTATTGTTCTTTTCCGAACACAAATGCGTGTTTCCCTAACCTGATGATTCTTTTTTTGCGGGTCTTTCGAATTTAGACAGAAAGATGTTCAGCTGTGTGTGCTCTTGATCGTTTACAAGTGAGTTGTTTTTCTGTGCAGGAATATGTGAAATTTGCTTTAATTACAACGATGGGAACGCGGAGTGACCCGACGGAATCTTTGTTGCCCGAAACACGACTGGTGGAAGTGACTCATGTGCGCCAGAGGTTTACCTGGGATTGCGGCATCGCGTGCGTCTCCATGATGCTGTACCCGGAACAGAGGAAAGACCTGCTCGGGAATCTGCTGAAAATCGCGGAAGAAGAAGGCTTCCAGAAAAGGTGCTACGTAGTACAGTAATGTATAGGTGAACCTCTATATACTGTAACTCTAATACCTCCCTATGCGGAATATTTTTTTCAAGTCCCCGTGTAAATTCCCTAAGAAATAATGCATTAAATACCTCCTTGATTCGAATTTAATTGCTGGTCACTTGAGTTCGTCTAAAAGAGGTTTGGCTGTATTAAGAAATGATCAATGTACCGTACTGCAGTGCCTTGGTTTAGAAATTTAATCAGATCCATTCGCAGAAAGTCTCATTAATGACGAAATATTGAGCTATTCCTTTATTGGCGAATTGTTTCTCGACCCCCGGATGTTTTCTGATTGCGTAATCGGAAGCTTTTCAGAATGGGTTAGTAATTCTGGATCCCTTTTCTCGCCTGATTCCCTCTTAGAATCGCCAAATTAGTGGATGGTCAACGCAGAATATCAGAAGCATCGCAGGAAGACTCCGGGAAAAATTACGAAAGGTTCTTGTCATGAAAAAAAAATTGAGTTCAGAAAAGTATGATACTGACCCTTTTTTTCCGGAGTTCATTCACTTATTTGAGGCCGAATCCTTTCCATGTATTAGGTATTACGTAATCTAAAGCAGGATCTGATGGTGACCGAACTAAAGAATTGATTGTAACTACCGAGTCTGTTGTGCGAAAAATCAATCATGCGAGGCATCTATATTATCCGGAGCATTCTTGTATTAAAAACCCGCTCACCTTTTTGCAATTAATGGAATCAGTATTTGATGGGGTTTTTTACTGCGTTGCTATATACAGTATTGTGCACTGGCAGATTTTTTGTCTGGCGAGAGAAATGAAAAAGTGAAGACGGATTGAAAATGCTGTACTGTATTTACATTTTTAAACATTTTTTTTTGCCCTTGACGCTTGATGAATTTATAGATAATTCAAGTTGTAGAAAGCGTCTTCATCCTGGCACTTTGATTTCCAAAAAAACTTGGCTAAATTCCGTCGAACTTCAGCGAGGGCGGAAAATTTAACAAATTAAAGCTCTTCTCTTGATTTTTTAAAATTTAGGAACCTTTGGAAGTGCAGTATTTGATCAAGCTAGCATTCGCGTCAAATCGTTGCGTAGGAAATTCGTGAGAAGTTGCACGAAAAACTTCAAGTCTGCTTTGCTCCAGGGTCGTTTTGTTTTAGAAAGCTTCTGAATTGTTTTGAGATTACGAGGAGAAGATGCTGCGCTTGAAGTCCCGTTGAAAATTGTACTGGCGATGATGTTTTTCTGTCATCACACATTCCTTGAGTAAAATCCAGATGCAATAAAGCCCTGGGAACAAGTGAAATAGCTTCGCTGTAACGAAAAATCAGTTTCAAAGTTACTCATTCGAAATTTGTAGCTAATAAGGACCTAAAAATGACCTCGTGGTAAGCGATTATTTCTTATAACGAGATTCGTTGAAACAAGATTTTATACTGTACTGTAGTACAGTATTTAAAAAATTATGATTTCCGTGTTGAATGACAGCATAGTAAATAACCTATTCTGAAAAAATATAACTATTCCTTTTTGGTAGGGCCATGAAGGTTGTTTTCATTATAATGTTCCATTCTATCTTATTTTTAAGAAACTTTGTGCATGCTTCAACAAAGGTGCTTTTGTTTTATTCATTTTCCAGCACTTGGACTATAGACTTGGCCTACTTGCTGAAGCGCTTCAACATCCCGTGCCAGTTCAGAACGCTGACAAAAGGCGTTGATCCCTCGTTCTCTTCAAAGTCCTTCTATCAAACATTCATGAACAAGGTACAGTAGTGAACCGTGAATTTCTTAGATATGGCGATGTTTCGGGTATGGTTAGTCATCAATCATACGTAGACAAAAATACAGAATACATATACTGTACTGTATTGCGTTATTCTTTTTAAGGATCACCCGCGAGTGTTGCGGAAGTTCGAAGAAGCGGAGCAACATGGCATTGATGTACAGCTCGAGTCAGTTCCCATGGACACCATTTTGCGACATTTAAACAAACATGGACCGGTTATTGTATTGACGAATGCTCGCCTATTGTATTGCAAAAATTGCGGCCATAACGCTCCCATGCGAATGTTGAGGAACATTTTTCCGACTGACGGAAAAGGCTTTGATGGTGAGGGGAATTTCTCGATTATCATTTGAGTACTACTGTACAGTACTTAGCTTGGACAACTACGTTCGGTCGTGCATTTATTTTGAATCATTTTCCATAGGTCATTACATTACTGTCGTCGGGTATAGTTTGAGAAACAGAAGGATCTACTATCGGAATCCAGCCCTGAAAGATGGTGAGTGAATAGTTGATGTATACAGTATTGAATAAATTATCACAATAATAAATTTATTTGTGAATTATGGTCATCTTAGTTGCCACCCAAAATCCCATTAGCCTTCATTGAGAACTTGAAATTTTTATGCGGTGCGATTATCAGCTATGGAAAATCAATTTGCCACCATGTACAATTTGCACGTCATACCAGTCTAATATTTGTATGGTTGGATACGCAATTGACAAACTTATTTTTGAAATTGATTGTTTGTTAGCCTAGACTGGTTTTTCTTTCAATGAAGAAAATTTCATATATTCCTGCTCCCCAAACAGAACATTTATTGGTGGAAACTATTGTTTTATTCCCACCGAACTCTACCCTCATATGTAACAATTATAAACATTTTACTTTCAAAGTCTTCACAAGGTATTTGAATTTTCATGATCCATTCTTTGACTTTTGGTCCTCTCAAAATTCATGTACGGTTAGTGAAGCTAATCAACTGATCTGGGAATATGCTGAAGATGCTTATTCAAATTATTTTTGAAGCGTGTGATGTGAGCTGATGCTTTTCCTAAACATATGCTGTTCGCAGAAATATGCCTGATGTCCTTCCGAGAATTTGAAGCCGCCAGGAAATCACACGGCACAGATGAAGACTTGCTTTTGATATTTTTCAAGGGCTTTAATTTGGGAAGTAGCACTGAAGTTTAATACCATCGTGGAAAATGAGCTCGTGATTGGCATTCATTCACGTGGAACGTTGAGTATTTCTCATTTGGCATTCAAAGGAATTTTGGGTTTTAAAGCAGTAATGCATGGAGAAGTTACCTTGGAAAGAGGATTTGCATGTTCATCGAAAAAAATTAATGCCTTCTAGGATGAAGAAAGAATGTGAGCTTTTGTGCAAGTAACAAATTTGTTTTGTTTCGAGCATCAGTGTGATTTAATATTTTTATAAGAATAAAAGGAAACTTTCTCAGACGGAAGATGGCTTTTTCCATTTATTCAACAGAAATCCCTAGGATTGCAATTCAGAGAAGAAAATCACACGAACACCTGAAAACACCCTCTGGATATGTAATAAAATAGCTCCCCTCAAAAATGGCCCCAACGTCGAAATTGTACCAAACGTATTTCTCAAGCCCCACTTCACACAGATCACGCTTTGGAAAAATAATTCGAAATATTCTTGGGTTGCCAAGCTAAAACATATTTAGAATTTACGCTAATCATTACATCCCAAACCACTTCCACTCAAACTCCTTGACCAGACATTCCACATTCACAATAACTTCGATGAAGAATGGTTGGTACCTAATTTTTCAATCATCCGATGATTGTTCAACAGTTCCAAAACTAGGGGCGTGAAGTATGATATTATGACGTCAGCTCCTGAAAATAAGTTGAAAAGATGCAACTGTTGATGCATTGCGAGATTTTTATCAAATTGACATCCAATCAAAGGTGAACATTACCTGCTCTTCTCATGCACTTGAAAGTTTCCATGACTGCGTCCTCCAAATCAAACGCTCCATTTTCTGCACCGTGAAAAAGCATAGAATACTCCCCGGAAACCTTAAAAAAAAGGGATAAACCAGTTGAGTGCATTTTGTCCGGCAAAATGTTCGTTGGATGGAAAATTATAATTTTTTATTTAAATGAAAAAATGCAATCTATTCCAGACACTCGCCGTAATGATAAACCTTAGAAACGGTAATTTTACTGGTTTTCGGCATTAAACTCATCAATTCAAATCAATTCGATTGAAGGAATCCCAACAAGTTTGTGCCCTTTCCCTAACAGCCATGAAGAAAGATTGTTCCGGAGCAAAATCAAAATGTTTGAGATCCACTTCTCAACCTAAGGGACATCCTCATTAAAATCAACAAGAGAAAGACTCACGATGAAAGAACAGTATTTCTTCGAAGAATTCAAAATTGAACAGGGGTCGAACACTAATGTAATTTTCAAGTGATGGAAAAAACGCGTGAGGAGGTTTCCATTGAGAGACTTCGTGCGTCATGCATTGAATTTCCATCAGTTCCTTAACTTCAATGTAATGTATTAGTCAATAGTGTGCTACTCACTTGGTAAATGAACAAGGGATGGTTGGGGAAACGGTCCTTGGTTTCCCGAACAATGTCCAGATACGCCATTCCCGGCTTCACCATAAGCATGTCTGCTCCTTCTTCAACATCTCGCGCCTACATTGATAAAAATGGACAATATCAATCAAAATTCATTCTACCGGTTCCACCATGAAGTTTTTAGTCAACTATGGAAACAAGAATACACCTTAAAACGGTTTAAAAATATCCCCTTGATTAGATTTTAAATTCAAGTTCAATACTACACCTCCCGTAATCGGAGGTTTTTGACACTCCATTTAAGTCGACAGGCGATCTAGAAACAGAGAATAATTTCTTGACACAAACTCTCGGGCATTTTACCGACAAAAAATGTTGGACAGGAATCTGGGTGTAACCCCTATTTTGAAGCAACCCGTATCCGCGCGTGAAATACAGTCGTGAGGCCCGAACATACGGACGACTCGACTTAGGGACACTTAATTAAAACTTTAAAAAAAACTGCCCCAACATCCTGACGTCTTGAGATAGGGCCACTTTCCAATATTTATCAAAAATGGAAAATTTTCATTTTACGAAATCGTTGTATCTCTCGATTAAACTGGGCTATTTATACAATAGAATCACCTCACAAAAAAGCATTTGGGACCTTGAAAGAAGCTTCGTTGTGAAATAGAATTTGTTCAAACAAATTTAAAAAAGCACTACAGCTGTTGCAAGGGGAAAAAATTTCATTTTTGTAAGCATTAGTTTGTTATGACAAGATTTACTGCAACGAGATTCTACTGTATTCAACAATTTAGAAGTACATTTCATTACAAATTCACTTTACCATATTTACTCAAGTACCACGCGCACCTTTTTTTCTCAAATTTCAGAAGAAAGAAAGGGGTGCAGGTCATAAGCAGGTACAAATTTTTCAAGAAGTTTTAAGAAGTTAGGTGTGAATTATACTTAATTAATATAATTATAATGGAGAAATTAGGAACAAATGTACCAAGAAAATTTGTTTCCACTGAAAAAGTTGAAAATTGATCAGATTTTTGATCAATTCATGTCTAAAGTCAAATTTTTTCTATTTTCAAAATTTTGTGGTTCTGGATTCACTAAAAATTGGGGTGCACGTCTTACTTGGGGATAAGATTTTAGCAAAATTTCCAGCTGAAAAACCCTGGTGCACGCCTTACTTGAGGGCATGTGGTACTCAAGTAAATACAGTAATTCATTATTCAAAAACAGGCTGATTTTGTGCTTCTTTCTTCAGTTTTCTCCATAATCTGTGCACAGTATATATAGCAAGACTTATTCTTCTTCTTTGCTTTTTGATCTCCTTTTGATGCCAAATGATCTGATTCCATGTGAGTTTCTTCTACACATTTACTTCCTGTATCTTGAAGTTGACATAAACAATTTTTATTCAAATTTCTGGGGAACTTCATTCGAATTTCTTCATGAACAGGAGAACCAAATAAATATTGTTTTCATTGAAGTCTATGGGAAAACGTGATTCAACATGCGGATGCTTCGACATAGGGACAAGGTCCGCGCACCAATTACATCTCGCATCTCGGGGCCCCACTGAAATGAACAAAACTCACAGCAGCCCGATGGGCCAAGCCTCGGGACCCCACAGGCAACTGGTACCCTTCCCTACTGATCGTCACTCCCTTCGGGGCCGACTGAGCAGCAGACCGAAACGGACCATAAAAGCAGGACGACGCAAACTTGACGGCATACGACAAGACGGCAACCCGGCCATCCAGCTTGGCCGACACCAGTTCCTTCTTAATGGCACCAACGATCCCATCGCTCATGCTGGACGGGGCCACGATGTGGGCCCCGGCTCGGGCATAGACCAGGGCCTGGGCAGCCATCCGCTTCACGGAAGCTGCATTGTCGTGTTGTCCATCAGAGTTCAGTAGGCCACAGTGGCCCGTAGACGTGTAGGCGCAGAGACACACGTCGCAGGCCACCAGGAGGTCGGGTAGCTTGTCACGCAGTACGCGAATAGCTGCAACTACTGGACTTCCTTCTCCGTCTGCGCCAGAGCCCGATTCATCCTTGAATTTTTTTTTTAATTATGATTCAAAAATGGTACAGTCGAACCTCGATAAGCCACCACCATTTGTTCGTGAGGTTTCTGGCAATTTAACGGTGGTAGGTGGTTTTTCAAAAAAAGCCAAGATAATATGAACGTCAAGCATAATAAGGAAATAAAATCCAAATTCTTCAAGAAAACGGATTTAAAAAAAAAAACCCTGGGATGCGTTAGCAATTCTTCCCAAGAAATAAATTACAGTATATCATCTTTGCCTCTATTTCTTTTCAATTGCTTAAGAAGCTCTCACAGAAATTTGAATCTTGTTGGCGGGCGATTGAAGAAGACAAAATTGGTTGGTAGGAGCATAGTTTTGTCGGATGGCATTTTCACGCGGTTTTCCAATGTTATCATCATAAGGGAAGATTTCTTTCAATTATAAAAATGGCGGTTGAAGAGAGTGGCGGCTTATGCGGGGGCGTCTTAACGGGGTTTGACCGTATAATTTTCCTAAGCATTCTTCCGATTGGAGATTTAATTTCACATAAGAATTCTTGAATAAGTCAACCGTATAATACCGTATTAAAATGAGCTTGGTTGACAGAAGAAGATCTACGGTGGTCTCCCGCTGCCACAACGTTCAATCCCTTCCAATCGGATTTTTTAAATCGAAGTCCAATAACCGAGCAATGAGAAGGTTTCAAGGAAAATACAAATTTGTTTCAGATTCTCCGAAGAAAACTAATCGCAAAAATTCAAGACCGCTTCATCTGTTTCACATAGTGAGGGAATGCTTTTTTGATTTTTTACTATGCGTTGAACTTTTTTTCTGAGTGGTTCTACTTGTCTTTCATGCTTCCAAAAGAAAACATCTTTATAATACAGTACTTCCAGATGGCACTAGATATTATCCTTCTAAATACTGAACATCGATTCAATCTGTCATAGAAACCATTTCCAGATCACTTGATTAGATTTCAAACCATCTCCACGCATTTTAGAAACCAAGTTTTCAAAGGCATCTACTGGAATAGGGAAAAATCCATTGTAAGAAAGCATCGAACATTCTCCGAAACATACAAAAACAACAGGAACACTCAAGAACGTTAAAAAAAACTTGACTGAAAAAGCTTTCAACCAATTGAAAAAATATGGCCACATTAATTCCGATTCATTACACAATTATTTGCAAGCGTAATCTGGCGCCTGTCTGCTCTGCAAAGCTTCCCTCAACAGGGACACCCCTGCACTGGAAACACTAAGAAAAGAAGTCAATCAAACACCTTCCCAACCTTTGGAATCCGGTTCAGCACGCCAAAAAGCAGAACTGACTTCAAGCCTTTGCTCATCAAGTCCTTGAGAACACCGGGCAGCGTTGCGACTCCGTAACGCTTCACGTCGGGGAGGCTGTCGATATCTTCAATAGCATCCTCCACATCCCTAAGCATAAAACCCGTTTTTTTTTTTTGAAACATTGCAGAAGTGTGAGACAAATCTGACTCACGTGACAAAAACCGGAAGCATGAGCTTCTTCGGGTCTATATCCACGTTGCCTTCCTGCCACGATCGCGTCAGTGGATGCGCGTAGCCGCTGTGAAGTCTATGTTCGGTGGGTACAGAGTACATGACGCCGACTGCTGAAACACCCTAAAAAAAAGATTTTTTACCACGTAAAACTTGTCATTCAATGCATTCTTGAAAAACGAAAAAAGAATACAATATCCGATGAACCAATCGAAGGAACAGGTCTTCCGATTTGCTCCACAACTGCCAGCAGAAAAATAAAGCATGTCTGCATCAAGCACAAATAATAAAAATTTAAAATCGAAGGAATGATGTAGGAAAGTGTTTCCCAACGTTTTTGGGCCAGCAAATTTCCGCTAAACGTTTTTCAGACCGGCAGATTTCCATGCAATTTTTTGCAGACCAGCAGAATTTTTTTTAAATACCTGGCATGAAGACTTCTGCATGAAAAATTTATCAAAAATAGAACATCTTTCTCTAAAATTTCAGAGAGACAATAGCAGTTGAAATTATCTGATGAAAATAAAATTTGGCTTTTCTCCTTAAAGCACTTCAGACAAATTTCCACCTGCTGACATACAAGGTAGATTATCCAAAGTATTCATTATGAGAAACGTTTCTTGGAGCACAGCTTTCTAATTTTTGAAAACATTCCACTACAGCTGCTTTATTGGTTCTCAACTTAATTTTTGCAATATAAGTTTTGGTTCAAGGACTTGTGGCAGGTATTCAAAAAAATGCTGCTGCTCTGCAAACATTTTATAGAAATTTGCTGGTCTGAGGGCTCCAAACAGGTTGGGGAACACTGCTCTACAGTATTTACAGAATGAGTAAATTTTCTTTCATAAAATCCTTAGTAGTCTGTGCAACAGAGACCAAAGTAGTTGTGCATTAAAACAAGGCATGTCTTCACAATCCTATGTTAAAAGCGAAGTAATCAGAATTTCAATAGAAAAAAATTATGAAAAATGGTTTTTTTTCACTTTTTAGTTCACTCAGCAGAGTTCGAACATTTTTTCCTTCAGTAAAGATCAGACAGCAGAACTTTGTCAACATGCGTTGAAACACGACAGCCCAGGAAAACAACTATTCCGTCCACTGGCTCACAAGAATTAATCCTGGAAATAACATCACACAAACCTAATCATCTATAAACTGAACACATGTTCCGTTTCTCCTACAACCTCCAAAAAAAAAGAAATAGTACTCTCAAGTTGGACGGACGGATCCAAAAATCACAACGAGTAAAACGTGTGAGCAACCAAGAGGCAACCATCCACCACAACGCACCGATTCCTTCAACTTCTCAATCTCAACGGAAGCACCTCGCCGTTGTGATAAAATATAAAATGTGTCGTTTGTCAACTCGCGATATGCCCAAAGTGAGAACAACCGACGAAAAAATAAAACAAGATCAACTCCTGGGCTATTCTCTTGAAGAATTCATCTTTCTTCCAAATGGAGAGTCGGCATTCGTGTGCAAGAAGTAGGATCCACGTGCACTGCAATATACCAAACAGGGAACGAAGTGTATCAGCCATCAAGAAGCCCGACTTCATAGCATTAATAATCGCTTTGCATAAAAAACCTGTTTCAAAACTTGAATTCATTTTTATTTCCTCTGGTATTATCCCAAGGTCAGCACAATTAAGAGGATGAAGGCGAATTACAGTTGAACCACGATAACTGAAATCTCTAATACCTCTTAAAATTGTTTTGAGTCCCTGTATGAATTCTCTTAGAAACAATGCATTAAAAATTTTCACTAACTCGAAAGCCTTTCCCCTCAAACCGCCCTTACCCGGATTTTGTGGAGGCCTTCTCGCGATTACTTTATTGACACAGGAAAGAGAAAAACAATAAAAATGTAACTCAATGCCTTTTGGAAGGAAGCGAAAGAGTATAATTTGGCAATTGAACCCTTGCCTCCAAGTTTAGGATATTGTCAACTCATTCAACAAGAAGCAATTCAAGTCCCAGAATATCCCCAATAAGAATTTCCTGCACTTCTTTTTCCTTTTGAAAATATGAAGACTTCTTTCCGTTGCTTAGAAGCTTCAGTAGGATCCACGTGCACTGCAATATACCAAACAGGGAACGAAGTGTATCAGCCATCAAGAAGCCCGACTTCATAGCATTAATAATCGCTTTGCATAAAAAACCTGTTTCAAAACTTGAATTCATTTTATTTTTCTCTGGTATTATCCCAAGGTCAGCACAATTAAAGAGGATGAAGGCGAATTACAGTTGAACCACGATAACTCAAATCTCTAATACCTCTTAAAATTGTTTTGAGTCCCTGTCTGAATTCTCTTAGAAACAATGCATTAAAAATTTTCACTAACTCGAAAGCCTTTCCCCTCAAACCGCCCTTACCCGGATTTTGTGGAGGCCTTTCTCGCGATTACTTTATTGACACAGGAAAGAGAAAAACAATAAAAATGTAACTCAATGCCTTTTGGAAGGAAGCGAAAGAGTATAATTTGGCAATTGAACCCTTGCCTCCAAGTTTAGGATATTGTCAACTCATTCAACAAGAAGCAATTCAAGTCCCAGAATATCCCCAATAAGAATTTCCTGCACTTCTTTTTCCTTTTGAAAATATGAAGACTTCTTTCCGTTGCTTAGAAGCTTCGGGTTAAAGCATTTCCGTTTCCCCAAGATATTTCAAGTTTCGTGACAATGCAATACAAAATTCAAGCAGGGAGAAACAAACTAGCGTACTTCGGTGAAGCATGGAAGCCCATGGCAGCAAGAGATCCTGAATTTTGTACACACTGTTCGTCTCGAAATGATTCCCATGAATCACACTGCCATCCAACGAAGTCATACGGGTGATTGATGGATTCCAAGTAAAACAGCCACGCACGGACATGTGGACAATGGAGCCCTGAGAAATCGAATCAAGTGCAAGAGCAGGAAGAAATTTTTTTTCATTTCTTGAGATTTTCTAGGGGAAAATTCCAACATTCATCATAAAAGAACCTGCAATATCTTCGGTGATTCTCAATCTTCCGAAAGTCCCACTCACAGAAAAGTGACTTTTTGCATATTCTTCAATCTGCACAGTACTGTACTGCTCTTTCATTTATTGTTACTCTTCTTTATCGAGTTGTCAAGTTTTCCTTACGTTAATTTCCTCACCTTGAAGGATCAAGAAAACTGTTGGCTTTATATGATTTCTCATCAAAGATTCTCTGTAATTTGTTCATTCAACTAAACCTCATACAGAAACAAGCTGAAGACCTTGTGCTTTAAATTCATGTTGACATATATTTTGTTACCAATGTCAGGGAATGAATGGGTGTATGCATACATGTCAGATGTCCAGTTGTATTTCATGTTGTATTGTATTTTCTTTTATTTCTGTTAGCAATTTGTGCTTTCCTGCTCTGAAGTGATTAAAATGTCTTTGAGTGGATTTGTGTTGGGTGGGAAGGGGGGTTTGGTTGTGGAAATCTTTAGTGAACCTTGTGAACGCTGAAAAGCGGCAAATAAAGTGTTCTGTTCATTCATTCATTAATTTCAGGGGTTGCCTCCAGGGCTATCACGGTCATTCCGCCATTATTAAAAGCCACCTATTCTCACCCCAAGCGGCGTTCGAGAAGGCAGCTGTTCATGAAATGCATGCATTTTCGGCACTTATATTCAAGAGCAGTACTGTGTAGAATGTAGCACAAATTCGATTTTTGGAGGATAAAGTTGAAATGCGACTTTGAGAAGATCGCAAATCACCAAAAATATTCTGGCGTTTCAATTTTTATTCCGACAACTTCCGTTAGACCCCTCATGCGCGAAAAAAAAAAAATAATCCCACTGGTGAAATTAAAACTCACAATGGTACAGGCTCCAGGTGCCATCAAGTATGCTGCACCCCGGCTGCAACAATCCACCATTCGGGTAGAAGTCCACGTGTCCCACGGGCCTAGCTACACCGATGAACCAGGTGTTCGTGTGCAGTATGTCGACGAACTCCGCATCAGCTTTGGATACGCCTCCGATGCACGTCTCACAATCAAAGTTGTACAAGAACGTTGGGTCAAGACCTGCGTGATTGTCAATTGAACGAGGGATTTAGTATTTCAAATTTTTAAAACGAACAACAGAATCGAGGAGACTGGTTTTTCTAAAGCTGCCTCACAGTGATTGACATTCACGTGCCCATCGTCAACATTGCAACTACAGTAGTTTGTCCAACTTTTTTTTGCGATTAATTATTTCCAGAGGTCTTTAATTAATAATTCGCTATTATTGTTCACCAATGAATCTTCACCTGAAATTCGCTGAACCTTGTGCCCAGTTTCGGATGCCAGAATTCTTGCAGCCATGGAAGCAATGTTGGAACCCAGACTGAGTCCGATCAGATGCACGTGCCAAGGTTTGATGAAATCCTGCCTTCAGACCGATGCATCAAGACTGCTAGAATAACTCGTCCCTCGGAAAATGACACACACGCACACAAAAAATGGCATCATCACCTGGCTAAAGATAACAGCATCTCCGCAATCTTCCGCGCCACAAACTTCGATCGCCTCATGACCAACGGATATGCGAGTAAAGTGCCCTTCGCCAGTGGTCCCCAGTCAACCACTATCACGTTCATGTCGTCATGCCTCAGCAGCGCTGCGGAAAGAGAAGAAAATTATTTAGTAATTGCAATTAAAATTACGCATCGGAAGCTTTTTTTTTGAGGTCAATACGGTTTTCACTGCCTGACTCTGTGTAAGGAAACATGGTCATCAAAATGAATGACGACGTCCACATCTATCTTCGTCATATTTTTAAACGACGCCTGAATTCTCGGATCACAATTTGGAAGTGGTTTACGTACACGTTTTTGGACTTGCGAAATACCTACAATACGAACTTCCACGATTTTCAAGGAATGGCTAGCTCAAACAATTCGTGGGGCGAGCCAGCATAAACATAATCTAGTGGGGCCCTCGACATGCGGACGCCCCCCACTTTATAGTTCAAACAATCTACCCCAACATCTGGACAATATCTTGAGATGTGGATACTTTCCCGACATTTCGAGACAAACAAAATTTTTTTTCAACACCTCCAACAAATCGAACTTTTTATATTCGCAAAAATTAAAAATAAATATTTCAAATTCACTACACTGTAATTTATGAACCAACACGTGTCAAGTTTGTGCTTAATTTTTTTAGTTCTTTTCATCATCTGAGAACTGTATAGGAAGACTTTTGCCTATTCTTTCATTTTTGGGCTCCTGTACAATAGCCCAAAAAAAAGGATTACGCGTGGTTTTCTTCTGCACATTTAATTTTTTTTATCTTGACGTTGAGAAATAATTTTATTCAACGTTTGGGGGACTTTTTCTTAATTTATGATCAACCAGAGAACCAATAAAATATATTCCCATTGAAGTTCAAGGGAAAACGTGATCCGACATGCGGACGTTCCGACTTATTCAAGCCCCAATCGTGTTCGAATCTCGGGGCCCCACTGCTCAGTTGAACTTCTCAAATTCAAAGGGATTCCAAAATAAATTCAACTTGGAGAGTTTTCCAAGAAATTATTCTCTGGCCAAATTATGAGAACTTTTCATTATTCATACACGTCCCAACTGCACGAAGCTTCCTAATCGCCTGGGGAGAGAATGACAAAAACATTTTGCCCTTTTTTTTATTCTCCTGGAACAGGTTTTCTGAAACGTAATCCCAACGTCAAAACAAAAAAGCCTTGAAAATTCGAACACGGGAGTTTCGACCTTGAAAATTCGAACACGGGAGTTACGACCTAAAAAGTTTCCGAGTTGGGGAGTGCTGAATTGCATCGGGCTTTCGGGAATCGGCCAGGGATTTACTAAAAATTATAATGAGAGAGGTTTTGACTTGAGGCCAAGTTGACGTGTGATGGTTGGTAAAAAGCAGACTTACCGTTTACGTAGTCTAGGGCAGCGAGGTTTCGGTACGTTGTTGTTGAAGCAAAGGAAGGTGAAGGCGTTCCCTTGACGCAGAAGGCAGTAACCCCAGTCTGAACCATTTGGTATCAAGTAAGCTCCATCTCGTGGGTTCAATCTTTTTAAGAAATGAGAAAACTCGAGTGTAGATTTTGACAATTGTTATCAAAACCCAATATTCGAAAAAAAGACCAAGCTTTTATTTATTTTTTAGTTATTTTACCTCGTGAAACATCTGAAGGTAATCGTCCGTTTTTCATCTGGCGCAATCGGAAGCGTGTCCTTCACGTTCTCCAAAATCATTTCTACAGACAGAAAAATAAATTCAATAATCAGCATTAAACCAAATCACTGAATAAACTCACCCAACACGTTGACATTTGGTGGAAACATGGTGTGAAAAAACGGATGAACAAAACTGATCTGAAGAGCCAGAACAATATTGGCACAAAAGAGTAACTTCGTTCGCGGGTACATGGCCGAAAGTTGAAAATACTGCAAGGAATTTATAGAAATTAAGAAATATACAGCTTGGGCATAGAAGGAAAAAACTTGATTAAAAAAAAAGACTCAATCACATAATATCCCTTTCGAAAACGCATCTCAACCAAACTCAACATCAAATTTAGGAAGGTAGCAAAATCCCATACGGGTCTTCAATCTTCAATCGGAAACCTCTTCTTCGTCCTGATTACTGAAGGAAACGGGCTGGGATTTCACAGGCTCTTGGACTACGCTTTTCTTCGTTTGTTTCGATTCTGAGTCTCGGTGATTCTTCTTTTTTTCTTTCTCCGTTTCTCCCTTGTCATCTGCATCGTCACTGTCTTCCTCTTCATCTTCATCATCATCAAGTGATGCATCAGAAGCAGTGGAAGCCTTCTTCTTTTTCTTCCCGGTTTGTTTCTGCTTCTTCTTGAGACGTTTTTCTCGCTTCTTTGCGGTTCTTTCTTCGCATGCTTTCTGGTTCTCCTCCAGTTGTCTCTGATATTCTTCGTCCAGACGATCCTACGAGGGGAATAAGAACTGATGATCGCAACACAGCGGATTGGCAAAACCATTCCACATTGCCATATGGAGAGAAAAAAGAAATGCTGGGGTATTATTGGTTTTAGATATTTATACATGTCCCTACGTAGTTATTATGTCATTTTATATTATAAAGAATGTTGTCTTGAGGGTTCCTTGGACTTTTATTTAAACAGTTGCTTTTAAACAAACTTAACTGCTGTTTTAGTTCAACATATTTCAGACTGCAAGTTTGTGGGAAACGGGTAAAAGCACAGAGCAGTGCTTCTGCAAGTGATAATTGGAGACCTATCTTCATTTCTCACCGTTCAACGGAATCAAGAGGAAAAATTGGGAATACAGTACACTTATCTTATACAGTACAACGTATTGAACTTGCCTTCGTAAAAATGCACTGATCTTCTCGTGAAGTAAAAAGGAAAAAAAGCTGTAGATTTTTAAGAGATAATTATATTCAAATTCACTTGTTCATTCAAACCCGTTTGTTCATTGAAACAGAGGAATGTACTGTCTACAGTAATGTTATTTGAGAAAAAGGATTAAATCATCAATGAGAATAAATAAATTTGAATAAAAAATAATGCTGCGGATTTTGTGGAATACAGAACGCTAAATTTTCTTTACAGAAAGCTTTGCTTGTCCGATGACATTGTAATGATGCAATGCAAACGTTGGATTTTTCCATTTTTTGCCGATCATCATCAACAGTAATTCGAATATCGCATACACGGAATCAGGGCAAACAATTCTTCATACAGAGATCACAGGTGAAAATGATTTTGATCAAATGAAATTTTTATAATTTGGAGAAACTGCTGAGGCCCTCGAAAATTCGTCAGGATAAATGCATCATTACCAGATTCATTGTAAAGGGATCATACCGTACTCAATCGAATTGCCTCAGAAAAAAAAACGAGACCATCTTCAATGATTCTTGGGATAGGACTTGACGAGAATGTGATTCGGGTCGACAAACCTTTTCACTCAAGGAATCCAAATGTTGCTGTCGAGCGTATTCCCGCCTCCGAATGTGTCGGTAAATGTGAAACTCTCCACTGCCCGCACCCGCACTGGAACCCATCACATTCCGTATAAACTCTGGAGGTTCTGAAAATTTCTTCTCTTTCCTCTGGTCTGGGATGTGAACCGGTTTGTCCTGTAATAAAAAGAAAGAAACGTTACTTTTAATGAAAAATTGTATTTTCTTAATTTTACGAAATTAGCTTCTTTATTCTCGGGATTTTGGTGATTTTTACATCAGATAAAAAAAATAATTCTTTGTCGTCAAACGACCTTGAACTTATTACTGGAGATGACAAAAAAACAATTGTGGAACACTGGAATTGAAAAAATATATCTGCGGAATTCTGCTATTCGTCAACATTTTGTCATTCAGTATCGCTGCTGAAAACCAGGGAAAAAATGTATGGGCCTCCATGTGCGAGTTGTACAGTACAATTAGTTTCACCCGAAATTTACAAAATCGACACCAAACAAGGTTTTTCTGACGATACAAGATCCGGGTAATATGCATATACCCTCACCGGAGACTGTAACCCAGCGTTCGCATTTTTGTTTGTAGTGTGTCCAAGTAGTTTAGAGTGAAGTTGGAAAAATGTCACTTGAAGTCAATTCACTTTAATTAATGACATGACATAACGCCTTTGACTGGCCAAAACGGTACTCAAACAGCTCGTTGAGTCGTTGGAGATCAACAGCGTTCTTGATCACCTTCGGTGCACCTCCTTCATCAGAGTCGGATTCAAAATCGTCCGCTTCTCCATCTTTTTTCACTTTTTCTCTCCGACCCATAATAATCAACAATCAGAAAGCGTTTTCAAAAATCCGAATACCTGCGGGCGAGAACGTGTGCGTGTCAGATAGGTAAGACATCGCATGGGGAATAACGAAGCCACGACATTCATGTCGAAATTGATGCCAAAACATAAAACATGCCCAACGATATTGAACACTTCAGCATACCGTGNAAAATCCGAATACCTGCGGGCGAGAACGTGTGCGTGTCAGATAGGTAAGACATCGCATGGGGAATAACGAAGCCACGACATTCATGTCGAAATTGATGCCAAAACATAAAACATGCCCAACGATATTAAACACTTCAGCATACCGTGAGAGTTGCCTTTCCTTTACCGTGATTTCCATTAGTATAATTACGCTCAATTGTGACTATGAAAAAAAAGGTAGTTACAAACACTTTAAGCTGTAAGGGACAACGAAGATTTGCCAAATCGAGACCATTTCCAGCTAAATGCTATTCAATCTACTAACGTTGAGCTTAATTTGAATTTATGAACTCCATTTTACGTAACGTACATCCTTACTTGAGCTTGAAAAAAATGTATACGGTATATAAATCTTTTCATTTACAAATATGCTGTGGGACCTCGAGATGCGGACATAACTGGTGCTTCGACCTTGTCCCCATGTTTGCACAATTGCACGTTAGATAACATCATCTTACAGATTTCAATGAAGACAAAATTGGTTCTCCTGTAAATCAAAAATTGTGAAAAACTGCCCAAAAATTGAATAAAATTCTTTCTCTCAACTTCAAGATACAGTACATAAAATAAAATGCACAGAAGAAAACCCCACAGTATCTGATCTTTTGGCAGGCAAAGGAACCCAAAAAGCGAAGAACAAGCACAAGTCTTGCTATACTTTTCACACATGATGGGGAAACAACTCCGAACAAATGAGCAAAAAAGTAGCATGTTTCGAATGATGAATCAGAGTAAATTTCTGATAAAATTCGTGTTCAACTTTCGGTGAAAATAAACACGATCTGTTCCCTAAAATTCAAACATATCTTTGTTAGAATTTTAAAAATAAATTTTTATTTCATTTTTATACAAAATGTTAGCATAATGTCTTGAGACATTGCCCGGATGTTGGGGCAGATTTTTTGAGTTTCACGTATCCCCGAGTCGAATCGTCCGTGTTTCAAGGAACCCCCACTGTTTATTAAAATTAGGCAGAATTCAATTTTAGGACATTACTTGGTACTGTATTATTAGAGGGTTCTTTCCGTGAACTCTTTGTTGAAAACATAATGTAAATCTAGCTAACCTAACCTTAGAGCAACTAAATTAGGTAAGTCAAACTTATCTTGAGACATTGCGCGGATTTCGGGCAGATTTTTTTCTTGTGCTGTAAAGTGTCCCTAAGTCAAATCATCCGTTTGTCGGGGCGTCCACATCTCGAGCTCCCATTGAATACATATAGAATTTATCTCTCTCTCTCTGCAAAGAAACTCAGGGGACCACAAAAAATTCGTTGTAGAGAGCATTTCGTCGTAGAGAAACTTTATTAAATGAGGAGAGAACCCTATCCTATGGGACCACAAAAAAATTCATTTTTACAAAGAAAATCGTTGTAGAGAGACTCCACCTGTATTCCCCATCGAACGTGACCCAGAAAGATAATTTCTACAGCAACTAAATATAAGAAGTTGATGCAACAATATTGACGGAAAAAAGTTGCAGGAAACGAGTGAGAGACGACCAACAGCTATACAGTACAATATAGGCACATCAGTCGGGAACACCTGCTTTGGACGCATGCCCGACCGCCGATGGCCTGCATCAAACACGAAGAACCCGGGTGCGTCGCACTCGTTCGGTTTCCAAGGAACACGACCTGTTACTTCATGCATTATACAATCGGCACTTCCAAATCAATCCCGGCGACCCATATATTTCGGGCCCCTTTGTTCCTTGTCTGTAGGTGTAAACGTGAAACTTCGGTTGCTTGAAAACGCCACTCATCGTGTTGTAGTTTACGTTACCGTTCGCACTTTATCCCGGTATCAGCACTTTATTCTACTAGAAATTGCGCGAGCATTTCATTAATGTACAGTATAGTGATACAGCCCTTTAGCCTCGCACATCACAACTATTAACTCGAAAGTTTCTTGACCAAATGCTCGCATCATCGAAAAAATCAGTGCGCGAAATTCGGATACAGAAAAAATTGTTAACGAAGTTTTTGAAACCAGGAAAAAACCTTCGCTATAACGTTGAATCCGCCATAAAGCGATTTGAATAAAATTATTGCCAGTGACCAGGGACCTAAAAACTAACTTCGTTGCAACCAATAATTCGTCATCACGAGATTCGTTGTAACGAGATTCCATTGCACCGTCCCAACGAATTTACCATTTCGGATCTGCGTGATTCTGACCTGAAAACTCAATTCGAATGAAGTAATTTCACGAAGACGGAGTCCCGCGTAGAATTAAAATACCGTAGTTACATAAAAATAAAAATGTTAATCCAATTTTCTCTCTAACAATATTGCGAAACTGTCCAGTGATATCAACTATTTCTTTTTTCCCCATTCAAATCCACAGCGCGAATTTTTTCTTTTCCCGATACTTGATCAAGTATCGNAACGAGATTCCATTGCACCGTCCCAACGAATTTACCATTTCGGATCTGCGTGATTCTGACCTGAAAACTCAATTCGAATGAAGTAATTTCACGAAGACGGAGTCCCGCGTAGAATTAAAATACCGTAGTTACATAAAAATAAAAATGTTAATCCAATTTTCTCTCTAACAATATTGCGAAACTGTCCAGTGATATCAACTATTTCTTTTTTCCCCATTCAAATCCACAGCGCGAATTTTTTCTTTTCCCGATACTTGATCAAGTATCGGGAAAAGAACATTTCTCCAACTCTTCCCGAATTGAACGAAGCTCACAGCACGAAGAAATACCTTAGTTTTAGATTTGGAACCGAATGCTACTTCCGAATACCGTTCAAAATAACCCCGAAATAATCCTGCCAATTCACTCCTAAACTTTATTGGTTTTTTATTGCAGAAAACAAGTACTAACTCGAGGAAATTGACGGTGACTCCAAATCGAACCGGTAAGAAAAAAAAAAACGACCACCATGCAGAAGTAATTCACGAATTACTGCACTGGCGTCTTCACATTATTCTTGATGTAGTTGACGGAAATAATTATGATGAGGAGTTCAATAAAATGACGCCACAAATTTAGTTCGTGAATAAATGAGACTAGAATCTCGCAATCGAAGGCTACCTAAGAATAAATGACCTTTACGAGTTTGTTTTCCCCACGAAGAAACGACAAAATGGACGCAAAATTCATTGGAAAGGACTCCCAGAAGGGCGAACAGGACCAGAGTTCCGAGACTCACGATGCCAAGACGTGTACCGACCAGAAACATGATCATCACGAAGAAGCATCGACGCACCAAGTGAGAAAAAGTTTCCCCCGGACAAAATAAAATTTATCAAAATCAGACAAAAAGAACATTTTTAATCCAACATCACATTTCCGATTAAATGAACTACATTACATTGTTAACCACATTCAAATTCATAATATGCTTTAGTTTTTCAACCCCGCAAATTAAATGCTTTCCCTCAAATCTAAGGCACGCCCTCGCATCAGGAAGTGCGAGAAACGCTCTTGTGGAAAACAAACAGAAAAGTGCGGACATTTTGATACCAGAATATCCCATGAAAAAATGGATTGTACCGACGACATGCGAAGAAACGCCCATTACACCTCCCTTCTATAGGAGACATAAATTTTGCAAAAAGTCGACATTTTTGCGATGTTCCTTAAAGAAAAAAAATCATCCGCGGAGCACGATGCTTCTCGCCTCAAATCTTGTCCGCGTTCATTTCAGAGCACAGTAACAAATGGTGTTCGGTAAAAAAATCCTCAGCAGTGGAAAGATTTTCAAGAGTCCGGCAAATTAATTATGTATTATTTTGAACAAATAGGAAAGGTTCACATTGCCGAACTAGCATTCCGCGTAGAAACCTCAAACATCAATATTGATTTTAAGATCCATCCTTTTTTCTGCGTAAAAGCTGAAGAAGCAGGCCTTCTATGAAAGATTTAAGCTTCTCAAATCTTCGACATAAATTCAAGAATAATGTAATACATTCAAGAAAGCTATTCAAGTTTCTGCGCAGCGTCCGCCATTTTGAAAAGATTATCAAAAAGTATTGATCCATCTATACGAAGACAGCTTAATTTTCTCCACGTCAAAATAATTCTGATAGCATGAACATTTTCACTTGAAATACATTTCCACGTAAGATACTGTACACTGTATTTCAACCTGACAATTTTAGTTTACAGTACACTATGTAAAAAAAAATTCCACGCTGATGGCGGCGGAAAAAAATGTTACTCACTCTCACTTCAATTCACAGCAACAAGCCCACAAACACACTGAGCAGAAGGACGAAGAACATCACGGGAAGCACGACGACTGAGCGGAGCCAACTCACAAATCAACCGAATACATCAAAGCACCGCAAAGGAAGTTCTCATTCTTCTACTACCGAATTGTAACATGTGTGTATGTATGTGTGTCAGTCAGTCAGTGTGTTCTGTTCATCAAACGCCAACGCTGCGATATTTATGTTCGTTTGGAAACACGAAGCCACTTCTCGGAGTCACATCCAAAAAAAAAACTGCCCCTTATCATAAGAGACGAAAAAAATAAGCTTCACATCCGTCCCGTGATTCGAATTCGCGACGAAATTTTTCCGGGAATTATTCAAGATATCAAATCAGGTTCCAAAGGCTGACCTTCAAAAGCACAATAAGACCCGAGAAGTGACTTTGCCCAAAAACTGAGGAGTGTGTGACACAGAGGACGGTGTCTCCAACTCGAGTTTCTTCGCGACTGTTCCGATCCAAGATCTAGAGCCTCGTTTTACTTTTCCCGTTACAATCATTACATACTACGTCGATTTATGTTTCGTTCGTTCATTCATCGAATTATGTTCGTTGAGTCATGGTTGGATGGCAGCGCAATAAAGCGTGCAAGAACGAATCAACGTCTCGTTGTCATTAAGCGGAGAACGGGTATCGTTGAGGAAGATCCGCTTGCGGTCGTTGCAACTCAGCGAAACGGTTCTAACGTTACTCGCATTTCCACACCGCGGTTCTCTTTTTTTGGGAAAATTTTCTTCATTTCTTTTTCCGTACAACCACGCATCATCAAAATAGAATCGACAGTTTTGTACACGTACGCCGTACACTCATAATACCTTTCGAACATTTCCGAAGAGAGCAAACGAAAGGGTATAATAAACTACGCCGAATGGGAGCACATTTGAAGATCAAATCTCGAAAGAGCATGTGTTCAACCTGACAAAAATAACTCCGCGCAACGGTGTAACGTTACTTGCATTTCCACACGCGGTTTCTTTTCGGGGTATGGTGGAATAACATCGTCATTCCAACACTGGATTACTGTCGTCAAGCTTATCCTGGAACAAATAGCATTTTTTTTCAGAAGGGCGTGAAGTGTTGACCTGGTTGGAGCATGACACATCATTTTTTTAAGAAGTTCAGAGTTGTAGAGCCCATTATGTACTTACGCTCCAATAAGGACTACTACTATAAGCGTGGCAAGTTTAATTCGCGACGAGATTTATTCCAGGCTGACGAGGTTGGGCCTGACGACGTTATTCCAGCCGATTGGACTATGCCTGTTCCTCTTTTTTCTGGACAACCATACACATTATCAAAATCGAATCAACGCTTTATCTACGCGTACACTGATACCCTCACATTTTTGAAATGAGCAAACGCAAGGATACAAGAAAAAACGCTGATTCGGAAAATGTTTGAAGATAATGTCTGGAAAGAGCATTTGTTTAACCCCACAAAAATAACGCAGCGCAATGGTATAACGTTACAGTGCTTGCATTTCTACACGCGGTTTCTGGACTAAATATTTTTTTCATTTCTTCTGGAGAACCACGCATCATCAAAATCGAATCAACACTTTTTCTACGCGTACCCTCATAATACAGTACCTTTCGAGCATTTTTGAAGACAGCAAGCGCAAGGATACAAAAAACTACGCAAATTGGGAAAAAGTTTGAAGATCATGTTTCGAAAGACCATGCGCTCAACCCTACAAAAATCCACGGACGAAAAAAAATGACAAAATGTGTTGTAGAGGTAATCTTTCTTCGTAAAAATTCTTAATGCGCAGAAGACAGTTTTTTAATCAGTTTCAAAATAGAAACAGACTTGACCCCAGCATGAAACTGTTGGTCAACGAGTGATTTTTTTCTTGACATTAGAGTTTTAGTTCACGAAAAAAATGAGAATCAAAACAATTTTTAAAAAGGTCGTTAAAAGGGTCATTTAATTAAATCGTACAGTACGAACTTTTCATGTTGGTTCATAAGTATTGGAGACTTTTTTAATTAGATCCAACAGAGTTTCAAAATTTTCACACACAAAAATAATTTCATAATCATTGCATCATTTGGCAACACTTCAGTGCTGTTCGACATTCTCTCCACCGATTTCAATGGATTTTTTTTTTCATGCAATAAATCCGTTCGTATAATGAAAACGGCTTTCCAGTTTCTGCATAATTCAAATCAGTCTGAACTTACACGCCTTTTGAAGAGTTCAACTCATCTGGTCATGAATTTATAACTTGAATTAAATAATTCACCGTAAATCACTCTACTCGGTTCACCGAAACAATTGGATTGACTGAATCAACGGTAGTCACGGTAACGAGGTCATGCTTACACAAAGTCAGCTATTTTAGGGTGGTGTAATTTTTCGCGGGATTAAAGTGAATCTTTAACAAACATCGGTCATCATTGCTCAAACTGGGTCAAATGTTTTGAAATTACAGTCCGATTACCGCGAATTCTTTGGGTCAAATAGGACGTTTTTAGCTTACCGAATGTCAGCCACTGCTACACAGGCAACCTTTTATAGAATATAACCCATTTTTGGAGCTGAAACCCTTGTACAAAAACCACTAACGATGGTGGCCCCCCCCCCCCCCTATTTCAACTATTTTAATCAAGCTTATATTAATATATCCAAGTAGATGAAATTCAAAGGTATAATAGTTATTCTCTCAAGTTTTTTTACATGCTACTATTCCGTGCCAAATCTTGTGCGTCCTGAAACAACGTGATTCCAATGCTGACATTTGAATATCTTCCGGTGTACAGTATTAATCTTAAGCTCTCTATTATTTCTAAAACACAAGGGATAAACAAGACGCGGACAGTACGACATATTTTCCAGATGAGAGAATAATACTGATTGATTTGAAATTTGCGGTATTTTGAACTGATCGATTTGTAACACTTGGAAGTGGTTCACAAGCCTTGGGAGATAATCTACGGCTAATCGAAAGGAAGGCAAAATTCGTGCGAAAACAAAGCTGATGGTCCGAATCCGTGGAAGAAAAAAAATAATAATTCAAAATAATGGGGGAGAATTACCCGGTTTCTATCTCATCAGCAAGAAGTTTACCTTCCAATTTGAAAAAAAAAAAACTAATCCATGTTTCAAGAGAGACCATTCCAAATAAAATTATGATCCAACGGTATTCTGAAACAAAGTTAAAACCGCACCATTGTGCTCTACATATTCAATACTGCTATTTAAAATCACACAGGAACACCGGACTACCTTGTATATTGAAAAGTAGATTACAGTACCGTACACTCGTACAGTATTCCGTTTTGTCAACTCCATGGTTATAGAAATCCGATCTCAAGAATATACAGTAATATCGTGCGTCAGTACTCAATTTTTTCTTCGAATCTAAATTTAAAAGAGCTTCCAACATTCGACCAATATTGCGACGCAAAATACAACGTTTGCTTCGATACATAACGAATTATGGACTGTCCATAACGTGATCAACCAAGGTACAGTAGAACCCGTGGTTTTTCCTCTACTTTTTCGGGCCAAAGCATGACATTTGATAACATTTCCAACCCCTGCAATTGATGAAAATGTATACGAAGAAAATAAATACCGTCCTGCAAATTTTCGGAAAAAAATGTTCCCGCCCCAAAAACAAGACACTGAAACTCTTACTGCTGAAACAGTTTACAAGAACTGTGGTCGCCTTTCAAGTACAGATGGACTTTCTACAATGAAATTCGGAGGATTAGAAAAACGTTTCATCATCGAGATAATTTCGTTGTACAGTATAGAGAACTCATCTAACATGAGGAGAGAACCCAATGGGATTAAAAAATAGTCGTCAGACAGAAAAATCGTGGCACAGATGAGAGTCCACCTGCTCAGGTTTGAAAATGAAATACCCGGGAATCTGGAGGTGTTGGAAAATGACGAATTTCAGTACTTGTATAGCAATGCTGTACAGTAAAACCTTTCTTAACGTGTTCCGCCCAAATTTTATTTTTTTTATATTTATTTCCGAATCCCATTGCACAGCAACTGGACAAACTTGATCATCTTCCAAACATATCAACATACAGTGAGACCCCGAGATGCGGACATAATTGGTGCATCAAGAGTGT